CGTGAAGCGTCCAAGGCACGGGGGGGGGGGTCGGTGAACCGAGAACCGGGATCATATATAGTACCATTATGGAATTAGGTCCCTGAAACCTTAATAAGGATGGTCTTTTGGGACCTAATTCCATAATGGTACTATATGTGGAGCCTCTGGGTTCGAGGTTCAGGATACCCACAACCGAATGGGAGTTTCCAAAAATAGGGGTACCTTATTTTGGGGGTCCTTATAATAAGGGTCCTACTGTTTAGGGTACTATAAGACTATATTAGGGTCCCCTATTTTCGGAAACTCCCAAATGACCACCACATGCTACCTGGAGGTGTACTTGAGTGTTACGTTTCGCTCCGACCATGGTCACAAGCACCCTGGGCCATCGTGCTAGGCCTTCAGGCTCTGGGGCTAGCTTTGCGTTTCCTTGGCTCTGGGGTTTGGACTGCAAAATTTGGTTTCACTCTGGATCTAGGAGGTTGCAGTATCCTGGAACCTGGAGGAGGTCTGTACAGACCTCAAAGAATTCAGTGTTTATACAATGATTCCTAAATTCCCTGGCGCCATATGAGCGAAGCCTTAAAGCATGGTACCAGTAGGAGCTTGCATGCAAGCAGACAATCAATCAACCATACATACATACATACATATATACATACACACACACGCACACAGACATACAAACGCACGCGCATACCCAACGAGGTGAAAGGTTGCCTTGTAGGGTACACACTTGATGCTCAAGTATTTACAGCATGCTTGCTGAGTCCTGACGTTTCCCTTCCTGCATACTAAACCCTAAACCCTAAACCCTAAAAGTTACTAATAACTGGGAACTGTATGGGTATTGGCGTTCGGCAACTGGGGCTCTGTCACGAACGCCTGCGAAGCTTTTCTAGATCTTTTGACCAACGTCCCTTGAGGGTCCATGTACCCAAATAGTACATAAATTTGGTCCCAAAGTACTTATATAGGGACTACTTTAAGGCCAAAGTGTATCTATTTGGGTACATGGACCCTTAGGGGTCAATCCTGGAAATTCTTAGGTCTCAGCGAGGGTTCCTTTAAAAAGCCGGCCAAGTGATGCCGCTTCCGTCGTAAAAAAGACCCTGAAGCCGAGCAATGTTGCCGTTGAACTCACCAACTAGATGGCAATCCAAACATACATCTCCTCCGTTTTTTAAAAAAGACTGCAGCTCACGCGATCGTATCGAAAATTTCTGGCCTCATCTGGAAGCGTCTCAGCTACCTGGCAGTCAGGCATGGAAATTTCCGCAGGCAGCACCACATGGTGCTAAATAGCTTGAGCCCCAAAGCTAAACCCACGAATGCTGACAAATTGAGCAAATTCGGATTTCGCAACAGAACATGAATGAAGTGTCACCGACAGAACATGCTGATCGTGCTCGCCGTTTGGGACTCAGACGGACTCAGCGTACTAGGAATGCTCAACCCTAAGGGTCCATGTACCCAAATAGTAGGTACTTTGGCTACTTTGAGGCCAAAGTATCTACTATTCGGGTACATGGACCCTTAGGGCAACTTTTACTCCTTCGCAACCTTGGTTGGGCCAATGGACTAAACGTCCGGCGTCTTCCAACAACCAAGCGAGCAAGCGAGCGGCAGTGTCGCGGCCACATGATACTACCCTTTGCAATCAACGTGCTGCTGAAGACAACCCAACCAATAGTCTTGACCATCTAAACGAATGCTGAACCCTAGGCCTTAAGTCGGATCAGACCCGAACCCTGAACCTTGAAGCACAATCACAATCCCGTGCCTGGAACATGTCAACCTGCACGCCGCTGTCCTCCATGCCTCGGCCATGATGCTACGGCTAAGCATCACTTGAGCTCAGGTTTAGGGCTTAGGGTTTAAACCTTGTGCCGCAAATCGTAAGTAGCAACAGGGAAATATAAGGCCATCCATAGGAAGGTAATATCGGCTCTATACGTCACAGAGCAACAAATTTTAAATGTTATCTCTAAAGGGGCACTATAAGGTTGTCGGATATACTTCTTCCCGAGGTATAAGTCGACCCAGGGTTTCAAACATCAGGGAGTCTGCACGACTTGGGGCCTATCCAGGTGCGAGAGCCACATGGCCGCCTTGTCATGGCAGGGGTTCCTTAAACCTGCCACAGCTTGCTCTGGGAGTCTCTATGAATTCAGCATTAGAGGTCATATTGAGACGATACAGCACAGACAAGTTGTGGTAGTTCATGATATGGTAACCCTATAAACCCAAAAGCCCTAAACCCTAAACCCATAAACCCGAAACCCTAAACCAGTATTGGCTTTACCAGCGAACGCGGAACTTATGTTCGGGACCTGTGTTCGATCGAAACTGCATTTGTTGACTTGAATGATGATGATGATTGTGAAAATTGCAACTATCACAATCTTGTTAGCATTGTTCTCTTCATGTCTTGCCGTGCTTCGATGCGGACGTTGCAGGGGTAGTATTTACGGTTGGGTGGACTGGTTCTTCGGATGAGATCTGCGAGCATCGTGACGAACGCCAGAGTTGCAAGCCCAAAGTGTCTGACAAGAAAGACGATGCTTCCCTCGAAGAAGTCTAGGGCTAGTGCGTGCATGCTGGTCGAATGATGAGAACAGTCATGGCAAGAAGGTTATGTGCACGGCCATAGAACTGATAAAGGCAATTAAGACTAGGTCCCTAGGTCGTACTAGCAACATACAACTTAGTCCTCGTGAAACAGGGTAAATAGGGTTTTGGGTGCATTATGCTATAATTACAATAAGGAACCCCGAAAATAGTAT